TCGCAGCTTGGATGAACTATTTTCGCCACGAATCAAATCCGTGGCTACGGCTTTTTCCGTCTAGAAGCGGGGCTTTGACCGTCACTCTTTTCTGGTGGCTACTGCTGTAGCCGTCGAGGTATTCTCCATTTCCTCGAATCACGGGTATCTCACCTGGGGGGTTTAACCCCCTCGCTTCCCCGTAGTCCGGTCCTATGCCCGGGCCCACTTCGGCTGGTCTCGCAGGGCTTTCTCCCGATCTGCTGGCCCAGCCGCCTTCCAGCAGCTGCCGTGGTCCTTGCCCACCATCTCTCGCTTGCTGCTGGAGAAATCCCCCGCCTCCGCCGTGCGGCTGCAGGGGCTGATCTTGGCCTCCGGTGGCGGCAAAACCCAGCCGCCACTACTGGCTGCATCCGCCACGACGCGCTCCTTCTTCTTCATCGACTCCTCCACCAGGGCCGCCAATTGCGAAATCTGCAGTTGCAAACTTGCAAGCTCTGCATCGCGGCCCTCCTCCACCGGCGGGCGGATCTGTTCTCCGCTCGCAGCAGTGGGCACCTCATCTCCGGTAGAGCTCATCCCGATGTGGCTTCCCTCGAGGGGCAAAACTCTAGAGTGTTTGCGGCCTACGCCACTTATTTATCGAGTGAGACTGTTTCGGTGATGTATTAACTTCACGAAAGGTAGGCGACCGTCCTTCACACGGACGAAAGAGGGAGTGCTCCACACAGAGCAGCTCCAACAACAAGGAGGGGCCCCGTGACTCATCACGGTGCCCCCTACCAAACGGCAACCTTACCAATCTGCGTGACACCAAATCATATAGCACATGTATCCAACACCAATGTTCGCAGACCCACGAACACCCCATCCCCCCGAAAAAGGACGGCACACCTCCACAACGGCACAGAACCAAAGAGGAACAGCCGACACACCACACCGGAAAAAAAAATATCGTCGACATCAGAAGTCAACGCCAAGTGCAAAACCTCCGGCACACACACAAAACATCCACAAACAAAAAGAAATCGAAGGGCGCCGGCGAGGTCGTTTGAAGTTACGGGAAGCGCCGACGGGGTCATTTGAAGGTGCTCGAAGAGCCGACCAGGTCGTTTGCAGTCGTACGAAGCGCCGTCTCGTTCTCCCCTTCCACCTTGAAAAACCCTCGAGGTGCCGTCTCGCTCTCTCCACCACCACGAAAATCCCACAAGGCGCCGACGTGCTCGCCTCTTCCGCCACAACAGTTCTCCACTGCAGTGCTCCCGTCCACCACGACAAAACCTCCTCCACAGCGCACCCTGACCCCCACGACGAAACCTCCACCACAGCGCGCCCCTCAGGTCCCGTTCCGCCGGACTCTCCCGGACCGCATGTGCACAAGAAGGCACCATGAGCCAGGCGGACCATCCACCGCCGTACAATATTTCGCCGGCGACAGCGACACGTCGAAACGCCGCTCGAGGTCGACGAAATTGGCGTTGTACGGCAGGTCCTCCTCCCACGCCCTCGAAACCTGAGGCGCCACCCCCAGCTGCCAGCTCTCCTCCTTCGACCGCACGTAAACATGCGCTCCTTTCATCTCCGCTGACAGCAAGGCCGGACCACGCTCCCATGTAGCCAGTAACGTGTAACCTGGTGGCACATGAAGGGAATTACGGGAGCGAGCTTGCGCGCGGAGCGCGGCAAGCTTACTATAGTCACAGTGCACTCATTGTCGGCACCTACTGTGACGAGCGGTCTCCGCAAAGCATATTTTCGAGTACCCACTTTTGTCTGAGAAACGGGTGGGTATACCCACTTACCCACTTTTGTTTTGTCTATTTCCCCAACATTTCCCTTGTAAAGAAAGTGGATCTTCTAACGTGCCCCACCTAACAGGAGTCTCTCTCGTGTTTGTTTTACGATTATCATCATCGACGGCGCTATCGGGCTGACCAATGAAAAGACGTCAGTCTCAGCGCGGTTGAATACACAAAACACTTCTAAATGCCATTAACTGGGACCCCGTGAGGTGGGGGCATGGGGAAGGCTAAGCTATTCTCCGGATCAAAGACAGAAACGGTAGCAAAAGAAGAAAAGTGCACGTGTCGATGAAGGCTGCTACCTTGCACTCTAGTTCGTTTCGGAGTGCTTTCACCGTCATCCTCCTTCCTTCCAACTCCATCGTTCTCACTATCATTTTCACAGCAACTTTCGACTTTTCTTCTCTGGCCCTGCGCCGTTTGTGGTGGGGAAGGTCACCTGACTCGAAGCTGTTGCTCTCTTCCACGCCATGATTCCCTCCTCGACTGCTGTTTCGGTCTCTGTCGTGTCCTCCTTCTGTTCCCTCTCCTCCTCCTTCATCGCTGCCATACGAATCCCCTTCATTGCCATCCTGGTCGTTTCTATCTGCACTACTACCGAGATCCTAACCTATTGGCCGTGGTGGAAACTGATCAAGAAGTAGTCCATGACGTTTGAAATCATCACGAGTTCGTACGGATAGAAAACGAGCATCTCGAATCCTGTTGGCATGAAAAGACTTTAGGCGAAGCAAGGCTGTTTCGCTCGTGTGTAACCCTATGTACTGTAGGAAGGGTATGAGGACAGTTCTGCGTTCCGTAGATTGAAGTAGACTTGGATGAGTCAGCGACCGCCCCCATGCTGCGTCAGCCTGCGTAGGCACTCTCTCTCTCTTCTCTGTCTGTTCTGCGTTTGTTCTGCGGATCTTGTACAAGCCATCAACGAGACTTTCTAGTCACTGGACACAAGTAACACGGGCACACCCGTCACATACTCCGGATCCGGGAGTTTTCAACATCTCGAACGCCCTCAACTCAAGACGTTAACTAACGCCGGCCTGCGCGAGGATGCCGATTGACTTCTCCTCTTCGCAGTGCCGACCGGAAAAGTCTTCCATCGCGGCTTCCCTGCAGCGGGGGTTCGGCGGTCGGTCACACGCCTGCAAGAGTCTCGGCACCGCCAAGTTCGACCAAATCTCGACTGGGCTACAGCTCATCCCATCCGATCCCGGGGTTCTACGGAAAACCTCTTCTTCCTCAAAGAAACCGACCTTTGATTGGGTGAGCGCTCGGCGGAGAACGGCTAATTGGCGTGAGAACGTGCGACTGATGTGTGCAGTAATAATTGTATAAACCTGCTGACTCTTGTTTTATGTTTGGACAACGAAGGGAGGATGTTCCGAACATCAAGGAAGACACACAGATAGAGACACACGTACATGTCACACCCACAAATAATCAGCACAGACAGCCGCCCACGCATCATTGGTCTCTGTGAAGTGCTGCAATCGATGTGGGAAATATATAAGCTAGTGCGTGCCCCTATGCGACGTGAGTAAACGGCTGTCGCCCAGATTGATTGTGTTACCGTAAACGTCGGACTTTTCCCCCCTAGTAGAGTCCCCCCCCAACCCCCCCGTTAACGTTTCAGCCTGGAAGCATGGTTTCTTTGATTTAGCCCGGGGGTAGATCGTTTTCAAGCAAAAAACAAAATCCCCCCGGGTATTTCAATTCCCCCCCGGGGTACCAGTTTTCCCACGAGTTCTCCCCGGGGGGAATGCATTTCACTTATTTTCTGAGTCGATTTTGTTGCATCGCGGAGCACAAAAAGCATGATATGGGGCGGAAAATTCAATTGCAGATCTGCGGTTCGAGCGAGATTCAGGTGTACCGTTTGTCACGGGAAGGCGGGCCCTTCCTCTTCTTCGAATCGCTCGCGGGACGAGACAGACTCCTCCAGCTGTTGTCCTCCTTGCTGTATTTTGTCTCTTCGCCTTTGTTGCTCTTACGTTCCTCCTCCCTCTGGCTGTTGAACGCTTGCTCGTAAACCTTATCCATATCAGTTTCGCCACCCTCTGTGTGTGTGGTGTGTGGACCATCAGTATTTTGCACAACCCCCTTGGGGGGGGCTTCCCCCCGGGGCAGCGTTGGAAAAAAAAAAATAACCCCCCCCCGGTACGTCAATTTCCCACGGGCTGCTTATGGGCACACAAGTGCCCATTGGTAGTCTATGGGCACAGCAGTGCCCATGGGGCGCCCATCGGAAATGCCCATGCTGGGCACTTCGTGGGCAGCCCATGGACCCTCAAAGAGTGCCCTTCAACCGACAGTCTACTCCTAAACAACAGAGTAGACTAGATTAACTTCTTTAGAAGGGGTACAATGACGGGTAATAACCCAAACGCTAACCCTAACCCTAACCCCAAGCCCACACAATACGTGCTAGGTTGGCGCTGGTGGCTATGTTCTAGGTTGGTATTCTGGTCGCGACGTTCTAGCGTGAAGTTGTGCACTTCGTGGGCAGTTCATCCATGGGCAGCCCATGGTCAGCTCATGGATACTCCATGGGGCAGTCCTTGAAGTGCCCATGAGTAGTTTAACAAACTCCCAGTAGTGTGGGAGATTGGCGAGGAAGTCAATCGTTGCACATGCAGCGAGCCTGCTCGCCCGCCCACGGGCTTGTTGGTCTTGATGTGCTTCCGGGCACTTCACTTGATCTGTGTGACTGGCATCATTAAGCGTGGACAACCTTTCGAGGGTGCCGATCGAGGAGTCAAAGGGCGGCAGGTTCCCCCCTTGTTGATTCGGGCATGAGAGTATCGACTAGGGCGTGTGGACAAAATCTCGAACATTCAACCTACCCTTCTTGCGATGATCACGGGGCTCGCCCGTTGTAGGGCGCAGCCCGTTTCTTTTTTTCACCTCAAGCAGATCCTACTGTATCGTATCACCGACAATTTCTTCTACTTCCCCACTTTCTATCGTTCTCCATCGTTCTCCATCGGCTGAGGTCAATTTCGTATGCATATTTTTGTTTATTTGTGTGTCTCTCCCATCCGTCGCTCTGCTGGCAAACATACATCCAATACTCGGCAGGAACGTCTAAAACGTTTGAAGAAATATCACCCGTTTTCCAAGCAATCTCGACGCCACTCTTGCCTTGAACTTGCCTCGTGTCCTCCGGTCTCCAAACCGCCGACAGCGAATTCATCATCGCCCTTGAAGGGCCTGGACGTGAAGATGGCGGTGCCATCGACGGGGGGGTCCCGTTTGCCGGGTTGTGCCCTATACTTCTTCCTTTTCATGTCGCTCGGAAGCGTGATGCCTTTCGTTCCGGTCATTTGGCGAAGCAAGAGGCTCTCTGGTGAGCGCGTGAACCCGGAGTTCCAAGTTTTTAGGGTTGAACACCACCACCCTGCTGTAGAACATCCGCCTATGGTGCCGCCAGGATACCTCCAAGTCGCACGGCTCAGCATCGCCACGTTTCTTTTTTCCATGTCTCGTTCTCCCGAACCAAGCAGAAACTGAGGTCGGTTTGCTGGCAGCTGTTCGGCCTATCGCACTTCTTCTAGCAGGGCCAGTCATCTGCTCGTTGATAGGCAAATACGGCGTTCAACAGACGGTGAGAGCAGTGTCAGAGCTGTGTTCGTTAGAGACGGACCATGACACTGGATGCGGCCGCGCCATGCGCAACTCGAAAGCCCTTAGCTTCGTTCGAGGCTTAGGACGGTACTATCGGAGTAAGCAACATCCAGAATGTCAGGTATTGAAACCACATAATGCGTTTATTGCGTCACAGGATGCAATCCTCCAGTAGAGCCTCACCACTCTCGTGGTAAACCAACGCCGCCAACAACTTCCTCGTCGTCATGCATTCCACTTGGCACCAATGCTCCACCACCCCCACCGTGTTTCTGGTGGAATTTGTCTAGGCTCTGTACGGGTTGATACTCCTATTCGCCATCACCCGCCCAACCATGCTCATTGCCGGGGGCTTTTGGACTTTGGCGGCGGTGGAGATATCGTGTTCCGTTGCCTTAAGCCCAATAATGAGCCTCATTGACGCCGCCGTGAGGAAGGCCTTTGGGTCGGGTGGGTGAGTCGAGGGGCGCTTGGTGTGCTTCGTAGATCTGGGAGCAGGAAGACAGCAATGAATATTTTCACGCTACTGCTGCCGCAAGTTTGACTGTCGTTTGGATCGGTATTTGGAGCCAAAGGTTCGAAACCATGGCCAGCACCCCTTCTTCGTTTTCTACGCGTCCCAGGCAATTTCATGGTCACATTGCTATGATCAAGCCTAAACACACACTATTCAAGCTGAACGTATCAGAAAAAGAGTGCCACACAGGGATTGGGAATGATCGTTAATTAGTGCAACGGAACGTCCGGCACATTTTGAAAGCTCGAAGGCGAAGTCTGTGACGTAATCCTCTACTGCTGGATAATGCCAAGAGCCGCATTTAGTCGAAAGGGCATGTCCACACGTTCCCTCAAAAATGGCTGACGACGGACGCCAATCGCCTTGTTTTCGCCAGGTGAGTCGAGGCTAGAAGCTTAACTATTCTCTTGCGGTAAAACATTTGGACTACTCATTTCGCTACATGGGGGAGATCTATGCCGGTTGTTCCCGACCAAAGGAAACACCCGTGTACTGACGTTCTTAGGACAAACGGGATGTGGCTTTGTGTAGATTTCGGCCAGTTGCCCTGCTCTACCATTTATCTCTCTCTCCGAGTGTTCTCCGAGTGCGAACCGCTGCACCGCTGTAAAGTACGTTTTCTGCTGGCGTCCGCACTGCTCTTGAACGCAACAGCATATATCTCGGCCCTCAACAGCCCTGAAATCGCCAAGCTTACCCTGCAGGAGACGCTTGCCCTACCTCGGCCTTGCACCGTCCTCCTTCGTTGGTTCCCAGGTACGGGACACAGAGGTCGTGGGGTGCAGCCGGCTACGGACTCGCGGCCGTCATCAGTGGCTTTGTATATGACGCTACCGGGGGCAGTTACGACGGTCTGATGGTTGCTTTCGTGACTGTCTTGGCACTCGCATTGCTAGCCGCCCTCGGTGTTCCGGTTGGACGAACCGATGAACCAGCCGGTGATCAAGATGATGAGGAAGCCCGGCGGTACGTGCTTGTTTATGTGATTCGGAGCGATCGTGGTGGCACGCATTATGTTGCACCAAGTACCTAAGATAGAGCCTCGGTGTACCCTTTACAGCCAGCAAACACCATGATCCATGATGGAACCACAAGTTTTTTCGATCCGAGAAACAAGTATGATTAATTTTCCCTGACTAACGACCATTAGCTTATGAGCCTAGTATACGTTGTTTAGTTTTCGCTATCGTACGTTTGTTACACTGTTGTTATTTTAGCTCTGTCGGTGAGTGATGCAACAGAACATTCGCACGTGAGTGTCCGGTGTATCGCGGCGCTTGGCTAGGACGGGGGTACTCGACGGTGTTGCCAGTTTTTGTTCAGGCACGAACGGTCTATTTGAAAATTACATCAGGATTATTGATCCTAAACGCATGCAAGGGTTGAGTAACGCCATCTGGGCCTTGTGATACACGTCGAGACGCCTCAACATCTACAGTAGTATTGTGTTTGTCACTGCAAAGGTCCTGGTTAAAACGTATTTCGTTCACATCTTGCGTGCTACCCACAGTGGCAAATAATCTTGACAAACGAGGAATCGAAGTGTCGTCATCAGGCGCCTGTTTGAGGTCGGCCTCTTTGAACTTCGATATCTAACATGCTTCCCCTGGAGCTACCGCAGATGTTCACCTGGAAACTTGCCGCCATTCTGTACGTTTCTTCGGCAGCGATCGATCAGGGACCAGTGACAACAGTTTCGTTCATGGAGAAACAGAGCTTGTCGAGAACGGACGCGCGAGCGAAGACGAGGTTACCGATACCCGGCCCTGCGTAGGAATCAGCGCCGAAGATTTGGAGGACGGGGAACCGAGTAAACGACTAGAACACTTGGAACAAGAGGAACATCGCGTGGCTTCGGTCCTCTGGATTATGTTCAGTACGCCGCAGAATTTCTCGTTCTTTTTGGGGGTCATGCTAAGCGGCATGGCGAAGGGCGTGATCGATACCTTCCTTTTTATCTGGTTAGTGCACAACTAGTTGTCCCGCACGTTTGAGGTCGATTTGCTTTGTCGCTCACGATATTAAGCTGAACGAATGACAGCAGGACTTTCATCGTTCATGCTTTGATACGGACCTAAACCTGAGTTTCATTTGCTTGCTCTTTCCACCGAAAGTTACGTTGGACCGGTGGTGTATCAGGCAGGTTGGGAATTGTAGTTTTGGGGCGTACCCCGTCGAGGACACCATTCAAGGCACAGTCAAGGCCCAACGCCCATACTTGCAGCTCGTGCGCCCCTCCCCTAGTAGATGTCCTTCACCGCTCCTTGCCGCTACGCTGACGGACGCTGCAGACCATCTTTCAATGGAATTGACAACCTTGTCATATTGAGGGAAATACGCTGAGGGGCTTACTTGGCGCGTGTAGAGTAAATGTTCTTGTAGCATACACTAGTGTTGCGACTATCCACGTGTGACTATCCACGCGTGCGTGAAAAGTCGGTTCGTTCGTTCGACGGCCACTGGGTCATGACTTGCTGTGGGATTTCCGCTAGTCACCCGCAAACATAATGTTCGATAACACACCAACTTCTCGCGGTTAAGCGGGAAGTCTGGAAGTGAGGGCCTCCAACGTTGAGTGAGCCGCAGGGCAACATGCAGCAGCCTGCGTAGAATGTCTCGTCTGTCAGTGCAAGCAGGATCGTGCTTCGTGATGTAACATTCACATCGATTTCCCCTTCGAGACACATCTGGGCGCACGCGTATGTTTCGTGAAACCCAACAATCCCGCGTCTATCCCCCTGATGCGTTGTCGTGTTTCGATCTATCATCAAGGTTGGATGAGCTCGGGGGCTCTCACGTTCTCCTGGGCCTTGCTGGAGTTGTAATGTGCTGCGGGGAAGTGCCGTTCTTCTACGTTTCGGGATCTTTCATCCGGAAAATTGGACCGAGAAACGTAGTGGCCCTGTCGCAGATTGGATACATCGTACGATTAGTCTACTATTCGGTGCGTTCTCCGCTTATATTCTCCATGAAGAGAGTGATTTTTGCGATGTTACACTATGTTTGCGTAGACTATTTAGAACCCGTCTTAGGGTTATTCGGCGGAGGTCTGCAAGGGTGGAGATTGAGGTTAAAGAAACAACGCAAATCAATGCGGTTTGGCACCAAGGCTGCCATAGTCAAGCGTAACCCTCCTCCACGACTTGAAACCGACTATGCGAAAACTCCGGGTATTTGTTGGTTGAACGCGCCCTTGGATCCCGCAGTCCGTCGTCTTCCGGCCGCCTTCATTACCTCCGTTTAGAATATGTCAGCGACACTAATTTGGCTGGCCTTAATCATGCTCAGGTTCTATGGGACCCATGGTGGGTGCTTCCGGCGGAACTTTTGCACGGCCTAACGTTTGCTGCTATGTGGGCAGCTACGACCGACTACGCCCACGGGATTGCGCCAGGTAGGGACCAGACGTCCCCGCTCGAGGTGCTCCACGGTTGGTATCTCACGACCGAGGAGAGACGATCGCCGCGCCTACTTTGCAACGGTTACTGATATCCGAACAATGCACACCTCATCACCCTATTACGGCCAACTCCAACCACGTCGTGCTTCCCCTCGTGCCACCGCTATTTACCAACTGTTCGACCCGTTTCGCCAACAGCACATTTGCGCTCGACGATGCAAGCAACGGTGGCGGGTCTCAAGGGTGGGCTGGGGTACGGGTTAGGGGCCATCCTCGGGGGAGTTTCGTATGCCAGTCTTGGCCCCAGGAGGTTTTTTCTGGCCAGTGCCGCTCTGCCCGTTTTGTCCCTCCTCTTTCTCATCGTCCTGCCCTGGATAAGTATCGGTGGCGGCTTGCGGAAGCAGGGGGCGGGTTCGAAGGGGCTGGAGCACTGGGGAGCAAATAGTTGGCACGAGGAGGTCAGCGTGAGTATTGATATTTTTCCGTCTTGCGGAGCAGTGCGGTGTTGCACGTCCCATCATTGAGTACCTCGTTTTCATATTTTCACAGGAGTTGAACGTAAGTACCTCCTTCTTCGTGATAGTAGAGTGGTTTCACCTATTCTCATACCCGCCAGGAATTTCAGCAGTGAAGTCGAGCGTGGAGTACGTTTAATGCGTAAACTACCGACACCTTGCTTTGGCATCCGCTCGTTTCATTGTTGCTGTTAGCGATTTTGTCACGCTAGCACACCGTCTTGCAGAAAAATACTCTGCGGGGACACGCCAAGCCATACAAGTCCATATAGCAGAAACAGGCCCAGAGGGGCGGCTACGCTTCGCGAACATAAGAAGCGCAATAACACACGAGAGAGATGATAGATACTGTAAGGTAGAACACCTTTTAGGAGAGTAAAATGGCAATGATGCAAGTCGGAATCAGGCGAAAAATCACCGTCTGTCGTGCGCGTATCCGCAACAATTGTGCATTCCCACAACATTCTATTGTAGCAGAGGAAAGTCCAAGAGTATTTTTCAAATGTATACCGATTGTCGACAAAATCTGCGCTTACTTTGTCGCTCCTCCGTGTATTGTTCTGCCCACTCAACGTAGTATCCTAACAGCGTGTTGTAGCACAGTATTCGTTTTCCTGCTATTCTCCCGAGAGAGGCGACTGAGACGGGTACCGATCCGCTGCCGACGTATTTTTGAGAGCCCGGTCAAAAGTATATCATTGTTTGAGAGGACAACATCATGACCAGCACACGCTATATGATCCTCGAGCAACTTAGGGTTAGATCCTCGAGCAACAACGCGCGTGCCACGCTGCCCCGCTGAGCACCCTCCTTAAACTATCGGGCTTCGTCACACAACCGTATGGTCCTTCCATCGTCGTCTGCGATCTTTGCAGGCCGTGGAAAATCGTATCAACGCCGAATTCGAGAACAACAACCTCGACCCTGTGGAGAGCCGACCAGAGTAGCACAAAAGGTACACTGTTGGCTGGCGTGCGTTCGTGGTGCCCATCGGCAGTGGGTAAACTAGATTCTAATCGCTGAGTGGGTGGGGCCCTTGTTGTTGACTCAGTTTTCGGAATGCGTAGTGGTGGCGGTGCGGGGACGCCATCGGCTGAGACCAGTGTCTCCTCAGAGGGGGGTGCAATCTACTCCACCATGACTCCTCCGCAGGCAGGGCTTCCCGTGTCGTTGCCGCCGTAGAATTTTGCTGTACTTTGTAGCATTTTGTTGTTGGAGTTGCTGTGTTGATCTTTTCCTTGGTGGCTGATTGCATCGTTTTGTTTCTTCTCGTGCATCCCTTAGTACAAGAGCTTTTCCCCCATTATCCTCTGACATGGTCGTTCCTGTGATCGATTGCATTTCAAGTTTTTCATTACTTATCCGAGACCGCGATGTGCTAATCACGCTGTGCATCTTGGTTTACTCACGCTTTCTTGTTCTCTCATGCATTTGGAATCATTTCTGTGGCGTGTTTTCTGAATCTGTTTGTCGATTCCCTCGTCCTTGAACGTCGATCTATGCCCAACCCAGGAGCTCCAGATCCGTCCCGGTGCCAAGCCTCAAACCCCTTCCTCCTCTGCCGAAGCATGCAGTACGCTCATACATATATGTATAGCACACACCCCCTATGCCGTTGTTGGGATTATTTTGCTGCCGACGACGTCGTCCAATTTAGGTGTTTCATGTTGCGGCCTTGGATGGACTTCGGGAGGTCTGTGCAAGGTTCTTGTATCCCCTTACTAGAAGTACTCTTGGGCATAGGTATTGCTGACGCTATTGTCGGCATGTGCCCGCCTGACGAACACCGCCAAGAGGAAATCGAGTTTTTGAGAAGAGGAATACGCGCAGCTATTTTGGTTGCATTGACACCCATTAGACTAGACGGAAGGGGAAAGGAGGGCGTGATGCGTTTACAGTCTCACGTGAACAAATTCTCGAGGGCGACAAAAATCTCGCTGATATGTAGACTAAATGCTAATTTCGGTGCTTCTGCCTCAGCACGAAAAATTCCGTTGTGGCTATCACGGCCGTCAACCCTATAATATGTTCTTTGTGAGTGAAATTGGCGCTGTTGATGTAGGCGTGCTTCCATAAATCAGAACTTCCCTTGTGTGTTGATTGCACGAAGCCCATGCAGAGGTAGACCAAGAGAGCCGAAGGCACAGGGAACCCCGCAACTCCCTAGAAATCATATCCACTGGCTCCGCGTATCATGCCGACCGACGTGTACCCTAAACAGCCTCTTTTACACCTCCAAAGGTGAAACGCCGGCAACTCAAATCCTTTTGCATTACCTCCCAAAATTGGGTCTTCCAGCGTCTCCAAGTCTGTATCACATTTCCATGCGTGTGTCCCATATGAAAAAATCGAGTGAGATACACTACTCCTGTGCGTCTCCATCCCGACCATCAGAGTTCATTACCATTTCCAGAAGCGGCATCATTTTTTTTTTACCAAGAGAGGGTAATCAATGTTGGGAAACCTCAAAACAAACTCAAGAGCTCCTTGTTGTTTGTGCCATTCCTCTCAAACGTGTTCTGGTAACACCGCCCTGTTCCAGTAGTTGTTTCTACTCTCATCCGAATCTACAGGGAAAACGCGGATACCAGAAAACAAGCCATGAAAACCAACCTTGATGCAAATGACCACAAACACAATCCAAGCTAAACACAGATGAAATTCATGCTGCTACACCAAGTAAGGTCGTCACACACACACACCTAAGGACTCACCCGAACGTTACAAAAAAGTGTGAAATCCACATCCGATGTCAACCATAAAGCAGAAAACAAAATAACGAATAATCAACACAGAGCTCGCGCACTTCAACAGTTCCTTGGTGCAGCGGTTTCGTGAGAGTCCACATGCTGCTCCGTGGACGGTGTACAAAGATTTATTGATTTACCTTTCTTTCCTACCATAAAGCACCCGTAAAAAATGGAGGCGAATGTCGACGTGTTTACTGTAGGGTTGAGTTATGTAGGCGTACAGTAGTTACCGGGTTCTTTCCTAGGCGAAAATCGCCGCCCCAATGGTCTCCATACCTGGCGGATGAATGCACGGTATGTGCATGGCGATATTCTTCGCGTTGGTAATTCCGTTGTCTTGGGCGCGACATGCACGGAGGTGGGGGCTATACAGGGTTGCACTTCCAGCCCGAGCAGGAGTAGGGAAAGAGGGATACCCTCGGGTCTCGAGTTCAGTCGGAATACAGGTTTGGTTTCGAAGGATGGAGCGATGCGTGCGATCATAGGGAAAATATCGGGATAAAATCACGTCGAAATGACGTGCCCCGGGGGCAATGGGGGCGGGAATGTTCCCACTGCTGTTGTTTTGTTTGCAGAGTCAAAAGATTGTGACAAAATCAACGCGACGAGTATCGTCGTCGTTGCCTGTCTGAAGCAGATTTTTTTATGGCTGAGTTTACTGCGTTGTTGACAGATCACCCGATGGCGAATGGAAACAAAAATGAGGAACAACAACTGCTCGGGGAACAACCATAGAAAAAATAGTTGGTCACCGCGGACTCAACTCGATCGCGGACTCTTGTCTGTGGAAGAGAAAGGGTGTGGCGCTACATGTAGAGACATTCGCCGGTCACCGTTCGTTGTTGTGATCCAATAATATACAGTCGTCCGATCGCTTGCTCAGTCAGCCAGTCTACACCTTCGAAGCGTGTCAGTCAAACTGCCTTCTACCCGTGGCCGAAGGCCAAATTGTGATAAACACTACATGTACAACGGTACAAATATATCGAACAACGAAGAACAACTATGATGTTGGTGATGATGACACCGTTTGGGTTTCTAAATTTTCTCGATTATAGACTGTCGAATGATTCCATCCGAATCCCTAGATGAGATGGCTTTTTCAAAACATGGTTCAATCAAGAAGATGCAAGATATGCGATTGGAGACAGCAAGAGGGCGAACCGGTGAAGAGGAGAGAAAAAGCGCGCATGGTCGTCCTTGGTCGCACACTTCTCGGACGCATGCAGCATGGTGGCGCATAGGTGTCCGTATGCGCTTTCGTCGTGCATTGATTTACTGGCTCTTCTTACTGTAGGTCGCGTGGTAATTCACTCGGTCCGGGCGCATTTTCATTACTAAAACACCGAAATGAACATTATGCCGTGGTTGCTGCCACGCCGACCCCGAGAGTTGATTTTTTGCGACGTAGTTCGAGGAGCCAAAAAGAGCGATCAAGAAAGGAAATGATGGGCGAACCGGTCAATTGAAAGGACCGAAACTGTGGGACAGCGCCCATGGTGGCACACTTCTGGCGCAGCATGGAACTTATTTAGCTCGTGGACTCACCGTATACGCTTTCGTCGCGAGACGTGAGCCCTACCGAGGCATAGTCGAGATGTCGCGAGACGTGAGCCATAGATCGAGATCGACTTTTGAGACACGGTCGGGCAAGGGTGGGGGAATCGAAGTAAGAGGGTCTGCGACAAAAATGAATTTAGGTCGGAGAGACCGAAGCTTACAGCTTCAGAACTGAAGCTTACAGCTTCGGAATTGGAACTATCGCAGACAATTCAACAGAAACTGTTTTGGTGTAACGGGGACACCCGGGACGATCTCGGTTCCCGGAGTTATAATTAGGTGGTAGTCACCGGGGCGACCGACTGCGTGGCGAAATTGCAATCGCAGCTGACGACTTTGCGCCGAAAACTCGTCCGAGTGGTTGCCTGGCAGAGGAGCCATTGTCGTGTAAAACGTGAGTCATCGCGACTGGCTCTATGTCATCAAGTCCACAAAGGACGCCGGTTGTATCATATTTTTTCCCGTTCGGGTCTGGACTGAACGTGTTCGATCGAGGCTGTATCCTTGTCTGAACGAGTCACCCTTTCTCGCCCCGCTATCCCTGTTACACCATGATCAGCATTCTGCCGGCGCTAAATTACCGGACCCAACCTCTCCCTTTAACCCACGAATCGTATCCCCGAAGAGCGATGGCATTTCCTCTTTTCCTGCGCCCGTGGACCAAATGTAGCTCATTCGTATTCTAATGCCTGTGTCTGGGCATGGCAGCAAAACGTCTAGGAGTCGGTCCGAACACCACATCCTTCAGCCCCTTTCCAAAGCGCTGACAGGTCACCGGATTCGATCAATCTAAGATATCGGCTTTGAGAAATCATGTCCGTTCACTCGCACGTCGGTTGCGGACAAGGCACCAGCCCGCTCGGATGAAACGTAAGCAAGGCTAAACAACTTAGGTGTCTAAACGATTGAGCAAAGGCTATTCCAAAGCCATTGTATACCTGGTGAATCGATCCAGCGGCAAAAGCCGCCCTACACCCTGTACGTTCATCTCAACTACTATATTTCAAGAGAGAGAATACTAACTTTGAAGCAGGGCCCCGCCGAAATTTTTATTGCTCGGCAACCGACCAACCGGACGTGTGGTATCTTCTACCCCACCCTGTGGAGGTTATCCACATCTCCGCATCTCCACTTGAACTAATGCGGAGATGCCAGCAGGCGTGTTCATTTTGCCCCGGCTTCATACGGTGGAGGCATCTATGCACTGCACTCCAAATAAACACAATCTCGTTCTTTTCCGAAGCACGAAATAGAACAACGGAGAAAACCACCGAGGGTAGGGCATGGGTGCAAACGAAGCAGAGAGTCCCTGCATGCAAGCGAATGCTACATATCATACGACAAAGCGCGTTTCTCGGTCGCCCTATCCAGTGCTCGCAGAATTTTGGACGGCGACGTTCGCTGATGCATTCAGCTACTCACACAAAAAAATACGAGGATGACGCAGCAGAAACAACCACCCCTCATGCTATGCGTTCGGAAAGCGCATCGAGCTGCCCATGAAAAACGGGTTGCAGATCCAGCTGGAAACGACGGCCATGGTACTCCCGCTCGCGGTGTTCCGCCCCCGTTAAGTTCACCACCCAAAGGCCGCTCGCTGTCTACAAGTTGACGCGTTCTTCACCAGTCCAGCCCCGTTGATTCCTCACTTATTCGCGTATCTGGACCAAGGACGCAGGCAAATAGACAGGAACGAGGCGACACAGCAATCAATTGGGAGCATCCCACGACATTCCCAGTTTAACCACTTCGGCATAGGCTTTTTCACCTGTAGCCGCTGTTATCAGCGGACACATTCGGAACGATGCAGCCGAGGCCCCCCTCTTTTAGGTCTCCATTGGGTTCAACCGAGGTGGAGATTTCAACGGCGATGCTGGCCCAAAGTCTCTCTAATTCCACTGCCTGGGTTCCGTCAGTTCCTCGACTGGGGCATTTTCATGTTATTTTTCGAGTCCCATGGGTCCGTGGGTTATACCTGTTGAGTGCTGAACTTTGATCGTTGTGCTAGAAAAGTGCGGTACTTGCAGAGCACTTGAACAGAGGTTTTTTCAAGTAAACACAAACACGATAACAGGCCGTATGATCGCTACTCATGTTGTCGGTGGCAGTCCTGCGAGCCATCGCGTGCCCCCTAGATTGACCATCATCGTTCGATTGTTCCATAACCAAGCCATCACCAAGAGGCGCCAACACCGAAAAGGGAAGTATTTGAAAATAAATTCTCGAAGGCTTTTCTCGCACGTTTGTTGCGCTGAAAGGGAAATTTTGTGAGAGGGCTTGTCCTAGGACAGCACAAGGTTCTTCACACGTTCAACGCCATTTCTGTAGCATCTTGAAACACCGCCTCAGTTGGCATCATCTCGTGTGCTGCCTCGCATTCGTCGCCCAAGCGTGGGCTGCAAGAATATGTACAGGATTTCGTGGAATCGGCTCGCAAAGGCAAACCAGAGCAGAGATTGAGAAAATCCCGTATGCGTGCAATTTGGAAATGGGGTTTGAAGGAGTGACAAAAGTGTGTGTCAACAAGCCTGGTTGAGCCAAATCGAGGAACCTACATGGCTTCTCGTTCCAGCCTGTCAACAGAAGGGGCGGGTTCCACAGGCGTCCATTCAAGATGTACGTAAATCTTCCCTAGAGCATTCCCAATTTCTAAAAAAGGTTGTATTTTCGAAGTGCATCGATTTCATCCAATGATGATCAGGTCGAAGTGGAGACTCGAGATAGCCTCCACGCTACAGTAGTTGATTCCACACAAGGGCCAACATCCGCACACGGACTTTCCGCGCAAGCACTCCACAAGTGCAATGGTCGACAATCACCTGGCGAACCGGGTTGCGAAGAATCTCGTACCCGTCGGACGATAAATCTGCACCCCAAAGGACTTCGCTCCCCTGGTTCTCGACGAGAGGGCCACGTCAGAGGTACCATTGCCGCCATCTAGGGTGGGCCAACCGTACGATCGAGCACGGTAAGCGGGTCCCCTCTGCAGCATTCGAACGACGGCCGCCTCCTTCCGTGGACTCCTCCGAGCGGGTGGCCCCAAGGCTATCCCAACCTCTTCGCCAGCAAGCTTCACGCGCAGGCGGAGAAAAAGAGAGGGGGGGGGGGAACGATGTGTTTGTCTCTATGGGCGAATGCTCTTATTCGTACCGTTGAGACGCCTACCCGTCCATTATCAAACTATCACAATGCAAATGCAAAAACCCTCGGAACTTTTCTGCCGCTCCATGGCTTACACGTGGGACTGCGCGTATATGGTACAACCACCACCGGCGACAATAGCCCGGCCTCTATGGAAACAAACACACATACCTTACCATAGCGGTTGGGTAGCGTCTCCCTCGCTCCAGCCGAGAGAAGCACATGCATCACCCTTACAGAGACCCATGCTGCAGCCAGGTGAAGCGGAGTACCGTCCCTCAACCGGCACTCGGCCCACTTCCGTCGATTATCCTCTCCCTCGGCGGAAACCAGCATTTCCAGAATTTTGGCCTGCCGACCCTGCACTGCCACGCCAATAGAGTTGGGAATGGCACCCAGCCCCCCAACCCTGTTGATGCCGTGTTCGAGCATCATACGAACCATGCGTGGATGGCCTCCGTCGCAAGCCCAGAAAATTGCCGCATTCTGTTCATCGACCCCCAGGTCACTCGCCCCTGCCGACAGAAGATGGAAAACCGCACGCCGCTGGCCCCTCAGTGCAGCAATGCCCATAGGGGTAAACCCCTTGTTGTCGAGGACGTTGAGCACCGATGGTGTGTTCGTCAAGATCACCGTCATGACTTCAAGGTTGCCCAGACCTGCCGCTACGTGCATCGCGCTCATGCCATCGGCGTTCTTCACGAAAGGACTGGCCCCGACCTTGAACAGTTCCCGTGCCAGTAGAGCTCCCGTGTCAGCAAGAGCTGTTAACATAAGCGGAGTTTCCCCTGCACCATCGCGGCTGTTGAAGTCGGCCCCAGCCTCCAGTAGGACGCATAAGGCAGTAGGGTTCTCCCCAGATATAGCGGCGTGGATTGCTCTGCTCCCTGCTGGGAAACGCGCCTCAGTCTCCAGATTGGCACCTTTAGATATCAGAAGCTTGAGCATGGCGGTATTGCCGTTTCTGGAAAAAGTAAAGTAAGAACAAGAAAATCAGATCGCCAAGAAGTGCACGATTGGCGTACCTCATGCTTCAGACAGCGTCCAGTCGCCAGAAATATCCGTGATCCTCGCAACTAGACTAGCGAATAGCACTATCTCGGTACTTTCCGTCGGCCTCCGCAATGCAGAAGAAATGCCAACGGCCACGTTGCAAGGCACGCCGCCGGAGTGGGCTCATCAGAGCATGGTAGTAGTGTCATCAACGCGGATTGCAAGATGGACGTGAAGCATGCGTTGGGGTAAATCAGCCATCAGCTGGAATCACTGACGTTTCCGAAGCTCGAACAGCGTTCACACAGCTGCCGTGTTGTTGACTCGAACATCTCACCGAGCATCAACGAACAAAAAAGGAAAAAACACGCAAATCTGTGTACAGCAGTCATATTCCTACGTGGCAGCGCCCACAATTGGGGGGTATTGCAGCTCGCGCGATCCGTCCACGTTTGCTCCGCCCGCGAGCAATTTCTTGACTCCACTCAAACTCCCCCTCTCCACTTCCATCAGCAGCCGCCGGTCGGCAGCCGCGGCACCAGGCATGGTCTCGGAACCGGTGGAGACTATTTAATAGCGGTGTCCTGCAACACAACCAACTTTGGACCAAATCAAGGGAAGACACGGAGCAGAACGCAACAAAAAATTGAACCGATTGTTGAAGCTGATGCTCCAGCGAATCTCGAATGTATGCTTGATTTTCATACCCCTCGCCGCCCTTACAAGGATCCACGTCCCATCCCTGCACACGAAACACACAAAGAAGAAGGGCTTGTCCTCACTTAATTTCACCTGTCTCTATTGGTGTATGCGCGTGGATAAGCATGCGCGTTTGGTGTATCAATTAGTATCGGCCGCGTTAGTCGGCTGACCAACCAAAGTATGTCAGTGCTGGCGGAAAAAATCAAGATCGCCGGTACGGGATCAAAATTTAAAGAGAATGAGAAACGCTCTGAATGCGAATGCCAAAACGAAAAGACCCATCTTTATGGGGACAGAATCTTTGGGATAAATGCTCGCCAAGATATGATGCATCGCGATTTATGGGGGGGGGGAGAGGAATGTTGTGGAATGTTGAAACAGGCGGCATGTTGTTCGTCTTGTCTCCTTGAAGTTGAGAAAAGACGTGACTGCCACTTGGTCCAGAAAATACCACGGTGTCACGAAAACTAAACACGACGCAGTCCTAGAAGGCACCGTCCCTCCCATAGCTGCATAGGCTCATACCTACGGGTGGATTCCAGCGGTGGGCGCCCACCTGGGGTGCACAAAGAGGCGACGTTATCCGCGGTGTCATGCACGCGGAGAACCGAAACTGTCCCGTTGCTGTCCAACGGCCAAAAGTGCGCATCAACCCGAGAGGCGATGACAAGTGCAGGTACTCACTACGTAGTAGGCGTACCGAGGTCAAACCTTCGGTGCCGTCATCTGCACTCACAGATCTGTTTGGGGCGCTCACGGCTTGGGTGTGAGGTGATTCGATCAAGAGATGCAAGCATCGCACACGACTGGGCTGTTGAGGAAAACGTTCCGCGGGCTCATTTATCTACTTGAAAGTAGAGCTCGTTGAACGGTCCCTCCACAGATGAAGCAATAGTTCGGGTCACCAGCGATGTTTTTATCTCTGGGTATTTGACCACCCCACAACCACCTCGCTTGCATCCGAGAGAGAACGGTTAGTGGAGGTGGCAGCATCGAAGGCTTGGCCTCGATGCGTCATCTACGGTATGAGAGATGCGAACGGGTGCTGTCCGCTCTCAAATTGGAGATGCGTGCCCTCCGTTTATGACGCACGCGGCACCAGCCAGGGCAAAAAAATATTTTTCGCGCGCCTTGATCCTTTTTCTCCGCTGTCGGCGCCCCTGGCATCGACACAGCAGAGCCAGGGTGCGTTACAGGCCCTTGCGAATGTGCCACGTGCAGATTTCAAAGCGTTGTGGACAACAAGGTTGACTAACGTGTGGTAATCTCGCCGCACCAGCCAAGCATCGCTACCCAAGGTTTGTCCCATCGAGCTTACTGGAAAAATCTTGGGTCAAGATTTGTTCGTTCGGGCAACTTTTGGGCCCCGTACAAATCTTGGTGGAGATTTTTCCGAAAAATTGTTTTCCATAAATCGTGAAACTGACAAATCTTGGCCCAAGATCGAGATTTTCCCCAAAGATCTTGTCCCCATAGAGATAGGTCTAAGGCGTTCCAAATTTTCAAACATGCGGTACTTCGGGCAAACTTGTCGGCATACACAGTGACACAGGCCTCGATGGGCCAGTCTTGGAGAACATATCAAAGACTTTTGCACAAACAGGGCTTGCCACATTCCCCACCGCTTACAGTTGAAGAGCAACGATAGATCGCAAATCGACGCAGGTAAAAAAAAAAAATGCCAACATGGAGCCGTCGGAGTGGCTGTGGCGAACAAAATTGACTATGAAAACCTTACAACGCGCCGGGGACCTTTATTAAGCTTCCTCGCAACCTCAGGGGAAGGGGCTGGTGCTCGGCGGCCTGAAATACCTAGAAAATATCGAGGGGAACTACATCGTAACCCCGAATACGTACTGAGGTGGGCTTAACCTTGAAGCTTCGGTACTTTGGTAGATTCATGATGTCTTCACGTCGTCACGGAGGTATCCATAAGAAAAATGAGGGGCACGGGATTAAACTAGCCAGGACTGCACAGCAGTCCCAATCTGGTCTAAGGGCAACATCTGGAGCAGCCGGGAGAGGGAGGAGACAAACTCCTTAGACCCGTCTTTATGGAAACATAATCATGCAATTATATCTTGGCAGATTTGCTCACAATATATCTCCGCCAAGATTTGCAGTATCGCGATTTATGGGGGAAATATCTTGAATGTTGAAAATGCGGCGTGTTGTTCCTCTCTTCTGCTTGAAGTTGAAAAAGGCACAACGGCCACTTGGTCCACAGAAAATGCCAAGGTGTGGCGAAAAGTGAGCATGACGCAGTTGTAAAAGGGGCATCGCTCCCCCAGCTGTATTGCCTCAACACTGTGGGTGGATACTAGCGATGGGCGCCTACCTGGGGTGCAAAATTGAATCCGTTGCCCACGAGCTCATGTCAAGCGGAGAAACAAAACTGTTCCATTGCTGTCCAACTGACAAGAAAGTGCATCAACCCGAGGCCGATGACACCCATGCACGTATCTCATGATGTAGCAGGCGTACCGAGGTCAAACCTCCGGCGCTGTCATCTGCACCGACGGATTTGGCTCGGGTGCAAACGGATTGGGTGTGGGGCGATTCGATGAAGAGATAGAAGCGTCGCACACGACAGAGCAGCGTTGGCAAAACGTTCCTCCTGCTCTATTTTTCTACTTCAAAATAAAGTACTCTTTGAACGGTCCCTCCACAGACTGGTGATGACGCACGTGGAACGAGTCAGGGCAAATACGCATTTTTTTCGCGCGCCTTGGTTGTTTTCGTTCGCTGTCGGCGCCCGTGGCGCCGACACAGTGACGCTAGGGTGCGTTAGAGACCCTTGCGAGTGTGCGACGTGCAGATTTCATGGCGTTATGGACGATTAGGTTGACTGACCTTCGGTGATCGCGCCGCACTGAGGCAAGATTTGTTACGCCGCCTCAAGATTTGTCGGAAGGCTCGACTTGACAAATCTTGGGTCAAGATTTGTTCGAAAGGGCAGATTTCGGGCCTCGAGAAATCTTGGCCAAGATATATCGGAAGATTTTGTTCCCATAAATCGTGAAACTGACAGATCTTGGCGAAGATCAAGATTTATCGACAAGATTTTGTTCCCATAAATCGGGGTCTTATAACACACCATTTTTGATCAGTGGGTTATGCAGAAGATACGTTTGCCAGAATGCATGGGTTCACTGAATTTTTATCCCCACGGGCCCCCTTATGTCAATTCCTGAATAAAACCAAACTGGAACAAGAGCACGACGAACATACCCGAGGGTGGGTAGCTGTGCGGTCTTGGATTCTCTCCTGTGAGCCCCCTCGATAACAGAAAAAGAGGGGGCCGTGCTGACAATGGGACCCAAGGGTTCACGATGACAATCTGGTCCAAAGGACGTACGATTGCCTGCTCAGGCACGAACATAAAAACGCCTACGAGCAAGCGAGCAATAACACTTTATCGCTGGAGGTGGACACGCTTCACTCAACCACCGATCCCGATCGTTGGAGTGCGCTGTATCAGTAGAGGACATCATGGACCAGTGAGATGCGCGTTTTGTAAACTCAGATTTGTTGCCGGGGGTGGCTTGACGTACCGTCAAAGTGCAAGTCATCGCGCACCCTCTAGACCGACTTTCGTGGCTCGATTGCTCCGCATCCGACAGGATGTCGATACCGGTAAGAATGGTCGTCGAAAGATCTCGCTGAGATCGTTCTTGTTACATATCGGTCGATTTTCGAGGCCATATGGTTGTGGAGAAAATCGAGGTTTAGAAGGCCGGTGGAGGGTGTGCGCTGTCGCTCGCACTTTTAGGTTGGAATCAAAACGAACTCCAAAAGTCTGGATCCAGACCGAACGTTTGACAATGCTTGCTCGCCGCCACGAACCCATTCCTATGACCTCGTGTCGTTTAGGCAGCTGGTGGTTTTGAGCTACAGGACCGCTGCAGTACACCGCAATTCAGGAGGTTGGGTCTGCGACGGCGCGTACAGCAGTGGGCTGTAAACCGTATGGACTCACATTTGCTGAGAAATAGGCCCGCAGCTGCAGTCTTCGACCACACGGCCCCAGTATCAGATCTGGGTTTGCGCATGGCTTTGCTCCATGATGCCCTCTATAGTGGTACAACGCACAGAACCTGCTCAAACACCCGCCGTGCGGCCTGTTTACTCTTGATTTTAGACATGTGGATATTTGTATAGAGAGAACATGTGTGGAGGCAGACTCCGTGATCCGCTGGTGGCGACAAAGCTTGTTCTTGTCTCTTATCACACTCTCAGTTTGAGATAGGGTGTATGGAGGTACTGCGGTAGACTCCGTGATAGCCTCTGGTGGAGAAATCAAACCGTGCGTGTGTCAACTTGAGTGCATCACAAAACAATAATAGATGGGTGAGGTGTACGTCTCTACATGACTCCGAGGAGTACACAAAACAAACCTCCCAGCGACTGCTGTACTGGTGCTAGGCACCCCGGTGCTATTCAGAAACTCCGGTTAGTGCGTCTTGGACACAACCTTTCTCGTTCCAACCAGTGCACCACATGTTGGCATGATCACTCAAAGCCGTTCCGAGATCCGATCTCTGCTCAAGTGCTCAAGTGCCTAGCGTCCCGCTGCTGTGTCCAGCTGACCCGGACGCCAGAGACTATCTACATGCCCAAACACATAAAACGCATATGCATAAGAACAGCCAAATCCCCGGTGATACGCGGCAACACCGAAGGCCTGCGACGAATGGTTGCAGTCCAGCATAAGATGCCCCGACCTCGTAGCACGCAACCTTCGCGCCCGAAGGAGGGTTTCTTAGAGGTATCACAAACCAATCAAATCCCCCAAAAAATATTGGTCTGGAGGCAAAGTACGTGTTGTTCTGCGTGTATGGCACGCCCAGCCAGTACCATCACTCCGCGGGGTATCATCACTCGTAATCTTCTGCCACACATCAATGTTGCCTAGGGTAGAAGCAAGTGTGGGTCGAGATGGCACGGGCCATCCGCGTTTTTCTGTGCTGTACAACAAAGCGGTAGCAGTACAACATGCCGTATTTCAAAATCGGAAAGGCATGCGGGGCAACCAATTCTCATAGGTACAACTCCCGGGATCCCTGGCCGCACCCACCTGCTGCAGCAGTGCCAAACAACAGCAGTGGTTTCCCCGCGTTCCTTCTCTGCTACGTCGTGACCTGCCTCTCCTGAGCTGTCCTGCGGCCTGCCTGGTCTCCTCGGTGGATCCTGCATCATCTCCAGCGTGGAGGTTCCGTGGATCACATATGGTGCGATACGGGGGTCATTTTTCACGTTATTAAGCGGTTAGTCTATCGCCTGCGCCATCCCTGGTCCGGCCTGCACTGCCTATATAGCCCTCTATCCATCAGCCACCAACCCTTCCAGAAATTTCTGCCTCCAAGCCATGCCTCGGGTGATGACTGCTTCTGGGTATTATTGGTGATGACACGGGATAACAACAGATGTTTTATCGTGGGTGAATCTCCTCACAGAATCGCAATCTCCCACAACTGACAGACAACATTTAGACTATTTGGCGGGCTTCGTCCGCGTAATTACACTCAAAAAGCTGTCCCGGTACATTAGAAATTTGCCGACAGACTGACAGTTTTGCTAAGGGCTGTTGTATGACTTTCTTTGTGGTTTTGTCGCAAATGCCGCCAGGACACGACACAATCGACACAAACCACAATTTACACATTTTTCAATGTAGTAGTAGTAATGCTTTATGTACTGCACTTGTGCCACATTGTTCGACGAAATGACTTCGGATGGATCGGATGTTGTGTAGAAGAAGAGTGTTTGTCGATGTGGGAATATTGTACTACTGTGCTTGGAATCACATTGATGGGAGGTGCTGTGCGACAGAAACGACAACAAGAGATGAAGATGTGTAGTACTAAGCAGATAAAATAATGTAGGTACAGCTTGACAGGGGAAAAGAGCAACAACGTTCCGATAACACGGACCGAATGTCTTTCCTTTGAACAGAGGGGGGTCACTCATCAGACAAGACCAACGAATTCGCAGGTCAGTGTACTTTGAAATTTGGTCTCTCTCTGCAGAAAGGCCATTCGACCTCTGGCCTTCTACATGTAGTTTATCCATTACGCTACCGTATGCTACGGTACACCTCGCTTCACGACAACAACAAAAACGCAGAAAACAGCAGTGCTTCAAGTCAAAGGCTATCGTAAGAATCGGAGAGTGGCCTGCCATCGGGGAGGTAAACGTTTACTATGTAGCTCCTCAAATATTGCCCACCCCCGCGCTAACTCTGCGACTCATACCCACTCTCTAATTAACCCCGTATAAGAATGCCCTGCATGCTTCTTGAAAGGTTGTGCCAACTCTTCGTTAGTGTGTACCGACTCTCCGATCCGTTCTACAACCCTCCTCCTGATCCGTTCCAACTCTCCGATGTTCTGCAATCCAAAAACTCAACATACGAACGACTATTTACCATAGGTACAACACGGGGGAGGTTATAAGGGGGACAGCCCTAGAAAATAGAACCAGCCAACCCGTCGCAAAAATTACATGATATGATCCTGAAAACGACCTGAGAAATCACGAAACCAAAGGGTCGCGCGGATTGAGAACCACTACACATGGCTCGAAGCAAACTACAAGGAAGGTAGATTTGCGCAACCCACAAGAACTGCTACAGATATTGAGCCCATGAAAAAATATTGTTTGGAATTCCTATCAACAAGTAAAACGGCTAAAAAACAACAACGAGAAAAGGAAGCTGCTCTCTTACACCCGTTTCGAAGCCGGAAACAGCCCATTATTGGGCTTTCCGCCGACTTTCCGCCAACCAGGTCTACCCCCGCACACCTAATGAAAGGGGGCTTCTCCATAGATGCCGTATTCAACCATCCGCACAATGCGTACGATGCCACGACCAGTCCTCGACAGGATATCCACGAATCCGAATCGCTCGACGCCCTTGTTTGTACAGGCAAAACTGCATCGCTTCGATAAAACTCATAAACTAGGTACATGTCAAGTTTCTCGATTAGGTCAACAGCGTTTGGCACGACTGATACGCCCGTGAAACTCTAAGAATGTACGATCTACAACATATCACGGGCGGACTAATACACCAGGTCGTCTTCGAGGTAAGCTCTTCCCCGTCGCAAGTGTAGTCGTTGCGAGGATTTCTCATTCCAGAACCGAGGCATGCCAAAACTGCAGCCGGAAATAAAAAATTCGAACGCCCATATCTTAATTAGATTCTCTCTTTCCCCAACCTCTCTGCTGGGGGGATACCGGCCGGGCCATGCATGTGTGTACTGTACATGCGATACAAAAAATGCTTCACTGGATCAACAATTTGAACACCTACTGCAAGGGATAAGCACAAGATCAAGGCCTGGCTATTTCAACATCCACTGCAAAGCGAATAACCCAAAATCAAGGCGTAGCCCCTACGCCGGTGCTACGAGGCCAGTCCACCGACCGGCCTCGGATACCATGTACTTCATACCATAACTGTACGGTTCGTCAGTTGACGTATACATAGCTCCGCCTCGAACCGAACCTGTTTATGCAGTGAAAAAGAGGAACATGTGGAGGCCAGCGAACGGGAATTGGTTTCGTGCGGCATACAGTATGCTGTAGTGAACGTAGGCACAGCGCGCGGTACTAGCGTGATGCAGTGCTGCGAAGCTAGAGACGCATGTTGTCGGCTTCATGTCCCAATTTACTGGCACCCAATGGTCCGGCGAGAACATTCATCACAAGGGTATTGATCAAGCAAACGAGCAAAAGACGTTTACGAGAAGCATCTCCCGCCCAGGCAAAAAGCAGAGCGAATTGATAGATACGGTGGAGGGTACCGTTCGACCCATTCTTCAAAGGAGATCCGGTACAGAACAGTAGACATGCAACCAGCACTAAACCACGGCAAGATACTACGGAAAGTTATCAAGTTCCCGATGTGGAGTAGCGCGATCAAGCCTATGCAGGACGAGATACATGGTGCACTACAACATCAAGAGCACGGAAATCTCTCACGATTCAGTGCGTATTGCCGCAGCCGATACTTAGGCTACCTGGCTCCGGTGAAATCAACGAAACAGGAAATATAGATTTCGAAGTATGAAGAATATATACATCGCACGGGACGATTCGTGTTTGCGGAACAAAGCGTAAGTCGACTGTACTGCTTTACTGTTGTCCTACCCTGAGAGTTGGGTACTATCAAGGTGCAACGCTTCTTGCGCCCGAAACACAATATCGAATATCACACAGTAACGAATATTTGAAAATGTCACCGATGTCGCTCACCGGCGTTTCATTCGGCACGGGCACGCGTCCACTCCTTCACAATTCAGGCTCACCTCCACCAAGCTCCACCAGGAACCCCACAGGGAACCGCTAGAACGGGTTTAACAGCACGGTGCGCTGCAGAGCATTCAGCAACTGGATCTGGGGCATCATGTATTCCGCCATTGAGCACGTTGGCCGCGGTGCGAACTCCGATCTGGGCCGCTGAACAGGGCGGTCCCTTGTCTGGCCTCCGGCCTGCGCGGCTTCTGCAGGCTCTGCCGGCTCCATTTCAGAAGGTTCTGACGCGGATGGTGGCTCAAGCATCGAATACTCGCCCGTGGCAGGAACGATTGGGGAAGGCTCCATCCCGGACCCAGAGTCTTCCGGGGCCCCAGCGGATACTTGGGCCCTAGGATGTCTACCCTGGATGGTTCCTCCGCTGCTAGTGCTGCCAAGCCCTTGCGCTGAGTTGCTGGCGACAACAGAGGAAGATGTATCCGCCAATAGGGAAGTGATTCCTGAGGGCGTCGTTGCATCGGCCTGCTCCGGCGATCTTCCTGAGGCCAGCTTGCCACCACGGTCCGTGGACGCCCTGGCACTCATGCTGCGACGTCGGATCCCTTCTGCTGCCTGGCGAGCGACGAGTGAAATCCGGTCGCGTGTCGCGCCCGGCATACTTCTTGGTGTCTTCGCTGCTCCAGTTGGCTCCGACGAACTTCTTGAGGCTTGACTCTCTCTGTCTGTGGCCGCCCTGTCATTGTTGTTACCGCGACGGCCAGTCAGCGTTGTTTGCTGCCTGGCTGAAGAGGGAGCGCGCGTCGACGCTGATGTTGCCATGCCTCGTGGAGTCATCACCGCTGCTTCGGCCGGCTGCGGCGAAGGTGTCGAGGCCGAGCTTATCTTAGCATTATTTGCCGTCCTGGCGGCGCGAAGGCTGGTCGGTGTTGTTGGCTGCCTGGGCCCAAAGAAAACACGATTTCCAGTCGACACCGCTCTGTCCCTCGGGGTCGTTGCTACCTTGGCCGGGTGTGGCGAAGTTGTCGAGGCCGGGTTACCCCGCCCGATCGTGACTGCCCTGTCCTTTTGGTTACCGCGACGGCCAGTCGGCGTTGTTTGCTGCCTGGCTGAAGAGGGAACACGAGTCGATGCTGATGTTGCCGTGCCTCGTGGAGTTGTCACTGCTGTTTTGGTGGGATGCGGCGAAGGTGTCGAGGCCGGGCTAATCATAGCATTCTTTGCCGTCCTGCTAGCGTGAAGGGTGGTCGGTGTTGTTGGCTGCCTGGTCCCAAAGAAAACACGATTTCCAGTCGACACCGCTCTGTTTCTCGGGGTCGTTGCTGCCTTAGCCGGATGTGGCGAAGCTGTCGAGGCCGGGTTACCCCGGCCGGCCGTGACCGCTCTGCCATTGTTGTTACCGCGACGAGCGGTCGGTGTTGTTGGCTGCTTGGCTGAAGAGGGAACACGAGTCGATGCTGATGTTGCCGTGCCTCGTGGAGTTGTCACCGCTGTTTTGGTCGGGTGCGGCGACGGTGTCGAGGCCGGGCTAACCTTAGCATTCTTTGCCGCCCTGGCGGCGCGAAGGCTGGTCGGTGTTGTTGGCTGCCTAGACCCAAAGAAAACACGATTTCCAGTCGATACCGCTGTGTTTCTCGGAGTCGTTACTGTCTTGGCCGGATGTGGCGAAGTTGTCGAGGCCGGGTTACCCTGCCCGATCTTGACCGCCCTGTCAGCAGTACGATGATTGGTCGGTATGGGTGTTTTTGGTTGCCTGACTGAAGACGAAACACCAGTCGCTGTCAAAGAGCCCGTGCCTCGTGGAGTCGTCACTGTTTTGGCCGGGTGCGGCGACGTTGTCGAAGACGGGTTGCTCCGACAGATCGCGGCCATCCTGTCATCGTTGTTGCTGCGATGGCCGGTCGTTGTCGAAAGCTGCTTGGCCATAAAAGAGAATCGCGCCCCCGTGGATGCAGCCGTGCCTCTTGGAGTCGTCGCCGCTTTCGCCGGCTCGGACGGCTTTCTTGAGGCTGGGTTATCTACACCATTCGTGGCCGCTCTGGCGTTGCTGCTATCGCGAAGGCCGGTCGGGGTTGTTGGCTGTCTAGCCGAAGCGGGTACACGCGCCGCTGTCGATGCCGCCGTGCCTGCCGGAGTCGTCGCTGTTTCGACCAGCTCAGGCGACCTTGCCGAAGGTGGGGAACCCCTACCGTTCGAGTGCACCCTGCTGCATTTGCAGCGAAGCTCGCATGGGCTTGTTTGCTCCGGGGTCACAAAGAACGCACCCGTTCCTGACAGAACTGCAGTGTTCCTTGGAGTTGTCACAGACTTGCCCTGCTCCGGCGATGTTCTCCACGCCGGGGTACCCTTCCACTTCCCAGCCGCCGTGCTACTCCCATGCCCGGGGCGTGGGGTTGGCTGCCTCTCGACGCCAGAAACGCCCTGCTTTTTCTTCGTTCTTATGCCCTCCGAAGATGTAGTGGCTGCGGCGGGGTCCGGCGACTGCCGCGTGGCCGGCTTGTCCCCACCATCTTTGGCTTCAATAGCTCTTGGTGTAGTTGCCTTGGTGTCGGGCTTTACTTGAGAGACCACCGGGGTCTCTTGAGCACCATTGTCCGCTGAAGCGTGTCCCGCTGCTGCTGATGATGATGCTGCGGCATGCCCCCCTACCGTCCCCGACATAGACGTGGGTCCCTGAGTTCCGCATTCAGCTCCAGAATGAAGGGCTGAAGGGGGGCCGTCAGCCACAGGTTGGAGAGCCTTCCCAGAACCCAGCAGGGCTTGGATCACCGAGTGCTTAGTTGCACATCCATCGACCGCAACGCCATTCCTCTCTGCTAAGAGGCCGAGTTCCGGTAGGCTTTGGCTGCCAAGCCAACTGGCAACTGTCTTCATCTCAACGAGTGGTGCCCCGTCTGAAATGACATGAAAAGGCCGGCGGGGGAGTCGGAAGGGGAGCGGGATATTCGCCGAATAAGTACGCAACCGGCATTGCGGATCTCGAATTTCGAGAGAAAATAAATATTTCAATGAACTCAACCCGAGGGGGAGGGTGCCCAAACGGCGTTGGACGAGACAGTCAACCGGTCCATTCAAGAGCCACAGGCCCTACTGCAACAATATACTACGAGGGAGTAAAAGGGGGGCTCGAAAATCAGGTGTGGAATGGCAAATCTGAAGTTCCCAGAAACAACGCCGTGCATGAAAAAAAAAAAAAAATGGTTCAAACACACCATGGGGTGGCACAAAAACATAGGAAAAATAACGGCCCAGACGGGCAAAATCAGAGGTAGGGGATTGAAAAAACAACTGCCCCGGCGTTCCCCCTACACAGCTATATTTTTCGTGTGGAGGCGGCCATTCTCCAGGGACTTGCGTAGTAGAAGAAAATGGCCAAAGGCGTGGAGGTTGATTGGGATACTACGAGATTTCCAGGGGTGCAAACAGAGTAGAACCGCTCAGCGGAACGGTGTTAATATTGTCGAATTTTGCGTGGGGCGATATATCCGAGGGAAAACGTCTCACAGAGCAGAGCGGTTACTCCGTAGTCCACTTTTTCATGGAAGGGTTTAATTTTCTGCGTAGCATGAACCCCGCGAAACCGAAGCCTTGACGACGGTGCATCTTGCAAAAAAGAAACGAAATCGTTCGGATATCCGTACAGATGGACGGAGTACCTGCGACTTCCAAAATACATTCGGTCTCACGGGCGGGCTCTGCGTGGAGGCCGCCCATGACACCATACGCATCCTCGCTGCCAGAACAGCCGAAACGAACGGAAAAGTTGTCTATTACAAACACACATCGATTCCTCCTCGACCAATTCGTTCCTGAGACACATACGAAGTATAACACAGCAGCAGTTAATTCCTCGCTACTTGCCCCACTCTCGTGTTGGAACTAGCAAGTGTTACAATAGTTATGTAGATTCACAACTCGCTCCCCAGAGAGCAATACGCTCAAATACACACGTCCCTGCTAGGCACGCACTTGCTCTCCCGCACGAGAAGTTCGGACAGATGCAGCTATAGTGTTCCCAACAGACTGAGCTGCAAGCAATTTCCCCAACTCATACGACATTCGGCATTGTCCAACTGTTCCATCTCCGGAGTAACATCGGGCTTCGACATATGAGGAACAAACCATCTCGACATCGGACGTCATTGCCTACCAAAGATGGTTGCACACGAACCCCAGCTCCTCCTCAATCTCTTATTGATAACTAGGTGTGGGGGGGGGGAGGAGGGGGGGGTGCGCAGGTGAGCACGGTTCCTATGATTCTATGTGGGTGGGTATGCTTAAGCCCGTGCAGACACTTTATGTCTTATGTAAGACTCGACAAGTGGAAAAACCGTGACTCCGTGGAAAAACCGAGGCTGTATTGCAGTTTTAACCGCGGACATTCCGGTTTTAGCCGCCGTAGATTATGTGACGGAGACCGCTCCGTAAAACGAACGCTTGTACGGAACGCTGGGAAACCTCACAGAGCGGTTGAAGGCTAAGAATAGATTAGTAAATCCTTCCCCAGAAATCGAAATTCAACGATGACGCTCCAAAACACGACCTAGATCCAACAACAAGAGAGGTTAACGTGGGACCCCGTCGCGTCAGAAATACCGTAGCAGATGATGTGAGGTTGATGTGATGTGAGGTTGATGTGCATGTATTTAGTGTATGTAGCTCTGCACAATATACACACAAGAAGCTCCAAAAGTTGTGCAATTTTGTACGCAAATCTAATGCGGTTGTTTGTCGCGTGGAAACTCAAAAAATAGCAGGATGTTTGGGCGAAACTACCCGCACACAGCAGTAGAAGATTGTATATTTTCCTATTACCACTCCTTAACCTACCCCACGCGCAGACCGGACAATTTAGGCCAACACTCTCCACGGCCCCCACTATGAGGGGAATCCGTGGAGAAGAAAACATGCTGGGTTTCTTGTTCCTTACACCGCACCAGGCTATGTCGTCAGCCAGTCGCCTTGGTCGATTCAAACTATTACAATGAGCCGCGGAGCCCGAAGCGCGACATTTTTTCCCTTAATCCTCAGGACGGAAAAAAAGGCTCTTAATATCGGGCTCTTTCAACCATCGCGCTGTAGAGCCGCAAAACCCCCCGGGGAACGGCACATCAATAAAATCTCACCGTTATTAGACGAGAACGAGGTCTATTGAGAACCGACTTCCGATCTGCTGGGCTGTGAGGAGGAAGCTAATTAGGGCACTCTTCGTCACACCGGTTTCGTCGGGCTCCGAAAACAGATGGCCGTGCTTTACAGGCATTTGTCCCCAAAATGATCGGAAAACTTCGCCCTCGTCCCCGGGAGTTGGACGAGAGGTAAAGCAACATACACACACGCAACAGTAGTTGCTCGGTTCAAACCAAGAGAACAAAGGAAGCACCCGGTTTAACACGTAACACCGCTAGGAGCGACAACACAGCACTGGCGAGGGAAGGGAGCCATTCATACGCACAGCTCGTGGCGGACGTCATCGTCATTGCTGTTGCTTCGGTGTGTGGGGAGGGATCATCGGTACTGCTGTAAACCAACCTATTTGCGCCTGGGAAAATGTAGAAACTGATCCCAGCAGACAGGCGCGGCGTTCTTGTTTGCAGGCTGTATGCCAGATTCTCGCGCCCGCAATTTCTGAGCGTACCACAGCCCCCCGGACGGTGATAACCACCACACAAGACGGAGTTTGGACACAGCTCGAGGCGGATACCTCTCTTATTGCTGTTGCTTCGGTGTGCGGGGAGGGATCACTTGGAAACAAAAACTGCTGTGCCAAGGGCAAGAAAAGTGCACAAGAGACCCTTTTTGGTGCCAGGCGCCAGGGTGTTGTTCTTGCATGTATGTACTGCCGAATAAGAAAGAAAGATAGATAGGAGTAATTGCCATTACAGCAGCAGCTGAGCAGCAGCAGCATTACAAGTGCATTCGTGTAAGCTGCCACTGTTCATTTTGTGTCTGTGGCAGTACTGATAGGTGCGGGTTGTTTGGCGGTACTACTGTTGTAGCAGGGGCGAGCATGTGTCGTTCATGTTCCTCCGCCGTTGATATGTACCATAATATTTATATTTTGAACAAACTTCCAGCGGGAGCGGGCACAAGGTCGTGGAAGATCCGTTCGAATTTAATTCCGCAAGTAATTGAATTGCGTGTTCTGGGTCGCTGCGTTGCTGTCTGGAAGCAACGTCTCGCACCTTCCACAGCATCGCAAATAGACTACTGCAGGGTATTGAGTCGTCACCCGTGGCTCACTACCCACCTCGCCAGTACAGAGCACCCAAGACTCGCAAGCGTGGTCGTGATAGCAATCCCATTCAGACCGACCAGATGTCTTTTCGTTGGTCAGCCGGACAGCGTGGTCGATGACGTTCATAGAACATACACACACACGCGTGTCACATGGGGATTCCAATGTCTTTCGCTTGCCCGTCTATATATTTTCTCCTCTGTGTGGAGGTCAGGATATGGAGATTCGGGGAGCACAGATACACGTACATAAAGAGTAGGATCTGAGAGGATATGTGATAATAGATTACCGTTCTTCGAGGGTCTATGACTCTTACGATTCCCAACGGCTGCGAAGAGTTGATGAATCTTTAGGAGAATGGGAAAAGGGTCCACGAAGGCTCGCCCACTCTCCTCGCCACCCTAGCTTGACTGAGTTCGCTCGGTCACGCTTGGCATTCCTCGCCATATTGCACCAAAGGAAATAGCCAACCTCCGGTGGCAGGACATAGCCACCACACTCCCGGACTCTCTGCTCAGCCAGAGTAGAGGGCTTCCATATTGGCGTTCGACGAAGCGTTCTATCTTTACAACCCACGTGTGAAACATGGGCTCCAAAGGAGGAGGAAAGAAAAAGGACGGAGGGTCGCAACAACAGCAGCAACAGCTAAAAAAGCAAAAGCCGCTGATGACCAAACAGCAGACGAAGCCGCGCCCCGACGCTGCTGCGCCTAACCACCAAGGCTCGGCTAAGCCCCAAGAGGGACAGTCGACGCCATCCCAAGCTGGGGACACCGCTGGTGCGGCTGCGAGCGTAGCACCCTCGCAGACCGGTAACCGTGGCGGGTACTTCCAAGCTTTGGTGGGTGGAAGTCGTGACGACAGCGACAACAACAGCAGCGCTGGCGATGGCGCCGAAGCTGTCACCACCCGACACCGCGACACCGACCCGAACTCCGACGACAATGATGACGACAGCGAAGAAGGCGCCGTTGGCGACGACGACGTTGACGACGACCTCGCGCACGACATCCTGCGGAACCGCGCAAGCGCCGCAAGCCAGCAGAGCGGTTCGCTCCTGGCAAGCGGCGGGTCGCTGGAAGCCGTTCTCGTTGGAGCGGTCACGAAGGCCGTGGAAGCGGAAAAGACCCCACCGGCATGGGTTCTCAACATGCTCATGCCAGGAGCCGTCCACCAGCATGATATCCAGCAGGTGAATCCGCGTTCGCTTGCCTCCGATCTAGATGCAGAAAATCGTTCTGGTATGCGCACGACAGTAAGTGTTCAACAGACCCCTGCTCAGAATATGAATGTGTCTACACCGACAAATTCATCTATTAACCCGGTACACCAAAACACGGTAAACCAGGCCTCACCGAACCAGGTAAACCAGCAGACGGTAAACCAGGACACCACTACCCCGGTAACCCAAACCACGGTCAACC